CAAACATGTCACGGACTGTGGACACGCCTTTGTTCAGGGTCCAGGGTTTTCGCCCTGCTCTCCGCTCGCTCTTCTGCTGACTCTTTGAATCCCAGCTTTTGTGTATCGGCTCACAGATGAACGTCTGATGTTGGAGGTTAAACTGCTGTAACAGTGAAGCCCAGAGAGGGTTTCCCACTTTTACTAATAACATAACGTTTCAATCTGTATATGTTTAACTTTACACCTTGTAACAGTTTAATGTTGGAACTATTTTCTCTGTACTGTCTACATCCGCCAGCCATATAACAGCTGGAGGATGTCACAGCTCAGCTGATGGGGAAGCTTCCTGTGGTGTTGTCATGTCATGTTCTCGGGAGTCATACAGCCACAGGGTGGAAGCTAAAACTCAAGACTAAAACCAGCTGTGAAGAAAGTATTCTCATCACATGATGTAAAATTAACTAAAACAACTGAAACAATATTGGAAAAAATAAAATGATATATTAAAATGATCCTAGACCTTTGTTGAGTTTTTTTTACAGAATTATTCAGAGGAGGCTTTAGTTTAGTTGAGCTTTGAGTCACGTTTTTGTCTTCATGCATTTTCTAAATTCCTAAATGCGCCCCAGACGAGTACCCTAATATTAGAGTTAGCCTGCTTTTATTAGTGGACACATATCAGCTGAATAACACAATCTGTTATTTGACACTTTTTTAACTTCGTCATGGCTTGTAACTCCTATTATGCGTGAAACTGCCCACAGACCGGAGGGTGAGCTGTAACCTAACCGACTCAGAGACAAGCGCAAACAAGTATAACTCTTCAAAGCTCAGTTACGATACAGTTATGATGTTGTTGTTCTCTTTGAGCATCATTTTGATCTTCTTACATCCTCACATTTCATCATGTTTCCAGCCCGAGTCTCTTACACGACACACACTCCTGCAGTTCACTCTGTTCACTGTTACTACACTAATTTTAAACCATCGCCGCCCACAATGACCCAGAAACTTTATCTCTCTCTTGGTTTGGAGGATTACAAAGGAACAGCTTTCATTGATGACGAATGTTCAAACTACAGTGTTCAGAGATGGACGCCACCTCAACCTGCTCTGATGTTTTTATGGAGCTCATATAAACAAGCTTTCTTCATTACGCATGTTTGAAGTTTAAAGAAGAACAGTAAGGGTCAGATTCACTGCAGCACGAAGACTTCTTTACACATGGAGACCTTGGAGGTTTATTACAGAGGCTCAGAGTCAGCGACAGCCGTGAACAGGGGCAAACACATCGCAGGAGTTTGATAGACACTCCTGAGATTTATAGTTAACCTCACATGTGTTGATGTCATGAAAGAGTCACTTAAAAACATCCAGCTGTGAATGTTTCACTCCACCTTAGGGGTTCTTAGGGAGCTTCTTCTCTCTGAAGCTTCAGAGCTGCTCTGAGGAGTTTGCAGCTTTGAGCAGAGGAGACAAACCGGAGACATTCTCAGCTCGGAGACAACGACCACGACTCTACCTGCAATCAATCATACTGATTAATCTCGGTCTCTCTTCCACAGCATGTCTTTATCCTGTCTTCCCTCTCTCGCCCCAACCGGTTGCTGTGATTTGGTGCTATATAAATAAAATTGAACTGAACGGAAGTGACCACGCTGAACCACATGACCACAGCGGTTAATACAGAAAACACCAGCTTTTAAAGAAATGTGTGGTATCAGTCTGACATCTGCCCAGTTTCACATTCAGTGTCACAGTAAATGCGTGCTGTCGGACAGGGAACGAAAGCTGAGATGATTTCTCAACAGATTGTGACAGAGAGCTTCTAGTGTGTGTCACTCATCGTCCCATCATGCACTGCTTCTCAATGACCTCTGTGATGTGTTTACTGACCTCTGACAAAGTCAGTTTTCTCTCTCTGTCTAAGGATGTAGACGCCACTGTGGTCGGGTTGGGGGTGTTTCAGGGTCAGCCTGAGGTCTGTGGTTGTCAGTGGCTCTTCCTTCATCTGAGTGGGGCCTCGATGTTGACCTCACAGATTCTCCCTCTGTGTTCTCTCTCGTCTGTAAAACCAAACATATCAGACACTCGTCTCCTGTGACTGTGGGTTCACACACAGGGCCACTTTATTAGGTACACAAGCACAGAGCGGCACAGAGCGGCTGCAGCGGAACAGGTGTGCCTAATAAAGTGGCCATGACATGTCTCTGTGACAATAAAGGATCAGGCGGCTCCCCCTGCTGGAGACACTTGAGGTGGAGACGTCGCGCAGAGGCATTCTTGATGGCCACTTTATTAGGTACACCGCGCCGGCACCCTGGTCCCTTGCTTGTTAATGACACAGACTCATCAGTCCTGGAAACATCAGAGGTTTGGGTCCATGCTAATGTGATGTCATCACACACAGGCTGCACATTTATGATGTCACTCTACCAAAGATCTGCTGCACTGAGATCTGTGACTGTGGAGGCGTCTGTGTGCAGTGGACTCATCGTCACGTCTGATCTGAGCTTTGTTTTCCTGCTGGA